AAAAATGTTTCGATCCCTGATACAAAAGATTTAGATGCATATACAGAGAACTATATTTTCACATTTTTTTCTCTATTCGCTAATACCGTAAAATCAACCGTTTTTTCTAGATCTAGATACCTAGTTATTAATTTCTTTATTCGAATAAATAACCGAATGATTAGTGCTTGTCATGTCATTTAAGTAAAAGTGTTCGTTCGTTTTTTAAGTTTTAAGCTACTAATTTGTATAAAATTAAAAGACGAATCCGAAAATATCATGGTTGTTACCGTAAAGCAGTGGCGTACTATTTTATTTAGAAAAATATGCCACCGGTACCCTGTATCTCCACCACTGGATTATGTAAATTTTAAGAAAATCCCTCAGGTATTGGACAATGTTTACATAAATATACAGGGTGGCCAAATGAAAACGAAACAGAGCCATTTTCAGGAACTGCGTCAAGATTGTAGAAAAACGCTGAGACCCATCGATTTTAGATTAAAGGGGGACATTCTTTGCTGGTATTTTTGACTCCGCCACTTTCACCCCCAAGCAAGGGTAAGCATCACCTCAAAATATTTAAATGGCATTGGGGGTTGAATAATATTTCCTTTAAAAGGTCTTACAATTCTCTTTACAAAATACTTTAAATTTTATAATTCCGCCCAATACTTATTAAGAATTTTGATTTTAAAGTAGTAAAGTACGCCAATGGTATAAATTTAGTATTTCTTGCGTTATATTGGTTTTTGGCGATTTGTTAACACTTTCGTAAAAAAACAATCGTAAAAAATAGAAATGAATGCTATACACACACAATGAACGTAAAATTAGTGGATTCTAAATTATTTTCTAGTATTATTTGGAAGCGTTGGTTGGTAGTTTGTGTTTTTGAAAATTAAACACTATGGTTTATTCTATTGCGGAAAGGGTAGATATCATTTCGCTTTACTTTATGAACAATAAATGTGCGAATAGAACAGCTCAGCTATTTAATGATCAACCTGTCGACCTGTCAGGAGGAAGTATGTTCTAGAGTTAGTACAAAAATTTCAAAAGACAGGAAACGTAGCCAATAAAAAACGAGAAATTGAAAAACCTATAATTATTAATGAAGCTAGTGAAGATGTAGTTTTGGGACAAGTTCATCTTGATCCTACATTAAGTACGAGGCAACTGACATCTGTGTCTGGGATCAGTCGAACTAGCAAACAAACCATTTTGAAGAAGAATAAATATACAAAATACAATTAGTCCGTGAACTACATGAGGATGATTATTATGACCGCCCTTTGCAATTTTGCGAAATAATGAGTTAGCGAGCAGAGAACGATCCACAGTTCCTTTTTAACATCTGTTTTTCTGATGAATGCAGTTTTTTTCTAGAACGGGAAGGTAAATCATCACAATTGCCGCTATTGGTCCGATTCAAACCCAAGAGTTTTTCACGAGGTGCATACACAGCAACCGTAAAAATTAAATGTATGGGATGGAATTTTCGGTGACCGGCTGGTGGGTCCTTTTTTACTACCTGATAATTTGACTGGCCAAATGTATTTGCAATTACTAGAAGACGCTATTAACCCTGCCTTGATTGATATTATTGAAAATGTTCCAGAGTATGATGAAGATCATTTGATTTTTCAACATGACGGTGCTCCTCCGCATTATGCGTTAATTGTCCGTTAGTATTTGGACCAACGTTTTCTACGGAATTGGATTGGGAGAAGAGGCAGCATTGAGTGGCCTCCACGATCACCAGATTTATCGCCCCTTGATTTCTTTAAAATCTATAAAACACAGCGTCGCTGGAAGATTTGCGTCAAAGAATCGTCGACGAATGCCGTCGAATCACTCCAGAAATGCTTCGGAATGTGCGTGAACGTTTCGAACAAAATCTTTATGCTTATATGGAAGCGGGCGGTCATCAGTTTGAACATTTAATCAACTAAGTAGTAAGTAAGCAACTAAACAAAATTTAAATTTTAAAATGTAATTTTTTTTCAAAGTATTGGATGGAATATAAAATTTAAAGTTTGTTGTATTGAGAATTGTAAGAGCTTTCAAAAGAAATATTACTCAACCCCCAATGCCATTTAAATATTTTAGGGATGAAGGTGGCGGAGTCAAAAATACTAGCAAAGAATGTCCCCCTTTTATCTAAAATCAAGGTCTGGACGTTTTTCTACAATCTTGACGCAGTTCCTGAAAATTGCTCTGTTTCGTTTTCATTTGGTCACCCTGTGTATGTCCAATTTCAGATTATATCACTCACTAGTTTTTAAATTATTTAAAAAAATTAAAAATATTTTTTGAAGTTTAATACCCTATAGCTTTTTAACGAAGTAGATAAAAACTTTATAGAAAACACTCCCCTTAAAATTCACCAAAGAATACGAGGTTTCATTTTTGGTCACCATTTGTGAATCACCCTGTAGATTACAGATGAAGCAGCGACTGAGAGATATTTCCAAAAAGTCCCTGTGCGAAAAGGGAAGTTTTAAACTAGACAATCATCTAAAAGGAATACACAATTGAGGAAGATTAAGTACAAGAAAAATTGAGAAAAATTTGAATGTCTCACATATTCTTATTTGGAAAAGTCTCCATGACTTTTTATTATATCCCTACCATATCCAACGGGTTCAAGCTCTACTACCTCGCGACTTTCCATTACGGATAAACTTTTGCCAGTGGTTTCTTCATAAAGTGAATCCATTATTTGACACTGAAATTTTATTCACCGATGAAGGCAACTTTTCCAGAAACGCCACAAGAATCACATTTGGGCTGAAGAAAACTCACATGCAATCTTGGAATCTCGTCACCAGGAGCAGTTTTCCGTTAACGTGTGGGTTGGAATATGCGGTGATTATTTAATTGGACCCTATTTTCTTCATGTGGGGTGAAACGGACATAATTACCGGCATTTTCTCGCAGAAGAATTTCCAGGTTTGATGGAAGTTGTTCCCATTTTAGTAATCGACTATGGTTTATGCACGACGGAGCACCAGCGCACTTCAGTGCTCTGGCGCGCGAATATTTAAACCAAAATTAAAATAATCGCTGGATAGGTCGCGGCGGACCACAGTCATGGCCACCTAGATCCCCGGACCTCAATGCTTTAGATTACCTCCTATGGGGTCATCTCAAAACATTGGTTTACAGCACACCAATTCATACTGAAGAGCAGTTGAGAAATCGCATCATAGTTTGTTGCGAAACTATTAGAACCACTTCCGGCATTTTCCAAAGAGTACGCGAGTCCATGAGAAGAAGAACAGAGGCGTGCATATTTGCAGGAGGTGGACATTTCTAACATCTGATATAATTTATTTCTTTGTGCGTTCAGGGTAATTTTCTTTTACCATTCCAAAATGTATGTAGATTACTGTAATTTCATAAGTTCAACATTTAAAAGTTATTATCTTAAATAAATTATTGTTCAAAGTTACATAAATCTTTTTTTTTCTCGTAAGTGGTCCAATAAGATGCAAATGAATGAATTTTATTTTTTTATGCGAAAACCGTACGTCAAACGAAAAAAATTCAAGACACTACATTTGCTCAGAAAATGATTTTTACTTTAAGAAAAAGCAGTGGCGTAACGTATTTTTCTTCAAAAATATTCAATACAAAACCTGTACAGACGCCACTGGCAAAAATAATAAAATTGTTTGTACATCAGAAAATGCATCTCGATGAATAGAAGGCGTGTACCAAATTTGAAAAAATATCTAGGGTATTACCAAAGTTATCATAAAAAAATGTTTTTTCATAAAACTTTAGCACCCTGTAGTTCAAAAGTTAAGACTTTTAGGACATATGTTCAGATGAACTTTTTTTCTTAAAATTGGCCCAAGAATAACCTCCTTAAATATTAGCACGTTATTAAAAAACACCCTGTATATTCTTAAAAAGTTTATAACTTTTGTTCTTCAAAAAATATACTTTCAAGTTTAAATACCTCGGAAATCATTTTTTCGTTAAATTGTATGAACTATACTACAGATTTTAGATATCTCATCTCTCTCAGTTTTCGAGTTATTGGCCTGGAAAGTATTAAACGGAACACTCGTATTGAAAATACGAAGACGTAACTCGCGCTTTCTCGTCTCTGTTGTTTTCGCCTTCGCAGATAAGCTTCTCTCTTTTAGTAGGTACATCCTCTTTTTTATATTCTGGTAAATGTGCGTTTGCACAAGAGTAGTTAATAGCGATTATCCCATCTCCACGAAAGCAATCTGTCCAACCGTAACAGTCGAATTACTGGCATTCTACAAGAACGGCGTAATTTATAACTTCCCTACTTCTATCTCAGTTTTTACTTAGAGAGAATAACCAACTTCGGTATCACAAAGAAGCCGCACCGTTTATTCTTATTCACTAGGATATTTTGATGTGATCTATTGGTGATTATTATTATTCACTTCTTGGAATAGGAGCTTTCCTTTTATCAATCATTTATATAGAGTGTCCCGCGAAGAATAGTAAGCGGACATTCCTCAGGTAAAAATAAGCGAAAGGTTTACTTATATAAAATCATTTAATCGTTTTTTCATTAGGTTCTTTGTACAATCACGTTATGGACATTAGTTTGTCTTAAATATTATTATGTTCACTTAATTTATTACATTTCGTGTAAAGATAAATAGCATAAAAGAAAAAAATTATAACAACCCATTCTCAATGACTTTTTGGGTATATTTTCATTATTATAAACTTTACTATATCTAACATTTCACAATTTTCAGATACATATGTCCTATATATTTGTTTAGCCAAACTGTATAACAGTTATTATTACTAACTTCAAAATTAAAAAACTTTTTATCTCTTAGAAGTTCTATAACTTTTTATTGCAAAGTTTTTAAATTCAAATTGTATGTGTGCCGCCATCTATTCTTTATAAGCTAAAATTACCATATTAACGAATACCAAATTTACAGTTCTCTCCACTAGGACCCGTGAAATGTCAAATACATAATGCATGGCATTTTGCCTTTGTTTACAAATAACAGAAAGTTTATTACGTTTCACTGCATACCTCAACTAGATTTTTAAAATTTATAGTGATTAGGTTACTGTGAATGAACATTTTAAAATGGCATCCGCATTCAGTCCAGGAATTCAAAAGCAATCGTTGAAGTATATTGAAGTACCCCTAAGTAAATTTACTGATGAAGTGATTCCTCATCATCAAAAAGTTTATGAACAGTACAAAACTACTATACAAAAGGTACTTAATTAATTAACGATAGTCAATATATAGTCATACTATAAAATCAATTTCAGTTGGTTTTGGTCAACAATGCAGAACAGCTTAAACGTGAAATCAAGGATAAGAAACGTACTGTAAAACAGTTAAGAGATTTAATGTACGAGCTTGATACGTTACGGGCTCAAGTTGAAGATGAAGATCTAGATAAATTTGATATTAAAACACTATCCTTAAGAAAAATTATTCTTAATTTAGTTAATGGATATACAGGTTAGGATCTCCAAATGATTGTTTTGTATTAATAGTTATACCTCTTTTATTCAAATTTAATACTGGATGTATGTTTCAGAATTAGAGAAGACTGTCGATCGAGTAACTTCAACCATAAATGAAAATGAGGAAGTCGGTAAAGAAAACCGTAATCCTTTCGAGGGAGCTTCTCAAATACAGATTCAAGGGAACATTGCAGATTTAAAACTTAAACAGCATAAAGATCAATTATGTAAGGTAGAAAATATAAACAATGATGTAAAAGAATTACATGAAATGTACAAGGACTTGAATGAGATGGTTGTGGGTCAAGGGGAACATGTCGATAATGTAGAACAGTCAGTTGAAAATACGCAGGAAAATGTCGAAAGTGGTGTGAGGGATATCATAAAAGCTCACAAGTAAGTGCAATAAAACAGATTATGGTGCATGTTTAAAATTAAAGGTTTGTTTACTTAAAAATTTTCTTAAACCGATTATTCCTAGTACAAGGTACCTATTTTAGAAATTTATGTATGAACTGACTAAATCACAAGAGCTTGTAAATACGCTTTGCTTAAAAATATTAATGTTACATGTGGGGTACTGATTTCTTAGTTACCCTGTACATAAGAATTTTCTATTCTAGATTAAAGGCAGTTGCATATCCAGTTACAGGAGCCTTCCTAGGTGGAATAATTGGTGGTCCTATTGGCCTGGTCGCAGGATTAAAAGTAGGGGGAATAGCGGCTCTAGGGTGCGCAATAGCTGGCTACACTGGTGGTAAATATTTTAAGAAGTTCCATGACCCCGACGATATCGTCCGAGAAGATGTGGGAACAGCTGCCGAACAAGACACGTCAGACACATTCCAGAAGAAGGACATATGACATAGGTGTTATTTATGTTAGTTTTTTTATTTATTTCACTTTAGCATTATATATTTTTTAATTTAATTTGCTTTATTTTAAGACTAGTGTTATACAGGGTGTTTTTAAATGAAGTAGCAAAAATGGTATCAGTGAATGTAGGCCAAAAATAAGAGGATTGAAGTAAAAATACCTTATATGAAAGGAGGGGATTGAAATTCACATTTTAATTTTTTTCTTTAACATGAGGAATAAAAATACTAATACTACTAATACCATTAATAAAAAGACAACTTTTCTATATTTGTTCGATCATTGGCGTATTTTATAAAGGAGTGAAACAGTGAAACCCCATTGCAATATTTTATTAGAAATTTTTTATATGAAGCAAATTATTTATTTAAAAATATGAAGATTATATTGCGCAACTTTTTTACATCTTGTAATTTTTCGATAAAACCGATAGTTTTCTAGTAAAAAAATTAGATGCGTCATCATTCACTAAAGGGGTAATTGCGAAAATTTGTAAAAATAAAGTAAGCGGATGTCGTAACAAATAAATTGTTATTTATCATATTAATAAATTGACACTTTCTGTGAATAAGCTGGTGATTTAATAATAACATTAAGAATAATTTGCTATTAATTAATGAAAAATATTCCTTTTTGAGCCGGTACCAAGAACACGATGGTGCTCCCTCTAAAGCACATAGTTCGGCGGCACTTTCGGTGGAAGAATCAGATAGGGGTTGGCGAGATAGCACATCAGCTACCCGGTTTAAGGCTTCTCTGCGGTACTGGATGTCGAAGTCATATTGTTGTAGATATATACTCCATCTTGCTAGGCGGCCGGTCGGACTTTTGACGGAGTGAAGCCAACGGAGTGGCTGATGGTCGGTGATAACGGTAAAACGGTAGCCTTCCAGGTATGGCCCCATTTTTTCAATTCCCCACACGATGGCTAAACATTCCTTTTCGGTGGTAGAATAATTTTTCTCGGCAGGGTTGAGGGTGCGGCTAGCATATGCCACAACATGTTCGGATCCCTCAACATTTTGGGTCAGGGCCACCCCTAGGCCAATGTCGGAAGCATCAGTCTGTAGACAGAACGGTATGTCAAAATCGGGGCTTCGGTGAGACACTTCTTCAAAGCGGTAAAAGCTTGTTCTTGCTCTTTAGTCCATTTCCACCGGTGGTTCTTCTTGAGTAGTCGTGTCAGCGGAGCGACTACTTCGGAAAATAACGGTACAAACCTACGATACCAGGAGGCTGTACCTAAGAAACGGCGGACATCTCGGACGTTCTTCGGAGTTGGAAACTTCTGTATTGCTTCCACCTTCTCTGGATCGGTGCGGATTCCCTCAGCGGTTACTAAGTGGCCTAAATACTTCAGTGACTTCCGGCAGAACTGGCATTTGTCCGGATTTAATTGCAGATTGGCCAGGCGTAGTCGGCGGAAAACTTCTTTTAGATTTTGCAGGTGATCATCAAATGTTTCCCCCAAAACAATTATGTCGTCAAGGTATGCAAAGGCGTGCGGTTCTAGTTCGGGACTAATGATGCGGTCTAACAAGCGCTGAAACGTAGCAGGTGCGGAATGCAGTCCAAATGGCATTACTTTGAATTGGAACAGTCCCCTCCCGGGGACAGTGAATGCGGTGACAAGTTTACTTTCGGGTGAAAGCGGAATTTGCCAGTACCCCTGTTTCAGGTCGATACTAGAGATGTACCGGACTCGGCGTAGTTTGTCCAGGATGGCATTAATGTACGGTAGGGGGTACGCATCTTTCTCTGTGACTTCGTTCACTTTCCTGAAGTCGATGCAAAATCTGGGACTTCCATCCTTTTTCCGGACTATTACTACCGGTGAACTCCATGGACTAGGTGACGGTTCGATTATTCCTTGTTCCAGCATGTCGTCAACTCCCTGGTTAATAATTGCTTGCATATGGGGGTTCTGCGGACAGTATCGTTGTTTAATCGGTTCTGCTTGGGAAAGGCGGATCCGATGCTAGATTAACTTCGTAGCACCTTTGATGTCGGCAAAACGGATGTCGGGGACATGTATTAGGTAAAGTTATTTATCTGAAATAAAATTTAATACAAACGAAAAAAAAAAAAAAGAAAAGCAAAATTAAATTTAAAGAATATTTCCATAATAATTTCCATTTTGCTGCAAGCATAACCTAAAGCGTCTGTTGAAGTTATAATGCACTCACACAAACAGTTTTTGGTTATTGCGAAGGTCATCTGCTGCCTGAAATATTCTGAAGCGTAGTTCTTCTAAGGAGGCAACAGGAGTGGCAAAAACAATACTTTTTATGTGTCCCTACAAAAAGAAATCCATAAGTGTTAGATCATGTGAACGTGCAAGCCAACAAACAGGGGCATCACAACCATGACCAAACCAGCGATTCGGGTAATTTAAATTTAACCATTCTCCAATGGCAAGTGTACTATGTGCAGGCACCCCATCGTACATATACCAGATCACCTGATGTGTAGTGGGGAGTACATCCTCAAATAATGTTAGAAGATTTTCGTTCAAAAATCTATGATACTCGACCACTCCAAGCCTGTGTGGAAGAATAAAAGGTCCTACTAGAGTATTTCCTACAATTTCCATGCAAACGTTTAAGTTGCTGCAATTATGTTGACATCTTGGAAACAAATATTTCATAAGTATTTTCTTTCGACCATGAATGATCATTATGAAGGTTTACTGCACCTACTCTAGGAAAATTTGCTTCATTGGTGAAAAGTATATTCATTTGGAAATTTAAGTCATGACTGGAAATATTAATGTACCATTGCCAAAAATCCACGCGGTTAGGTAAATCAGGGTCATTCAGTTCTTGCACCGATTGATGGTGAAAAGGGTATAAAAGATTTTCATGAGCTATATTTCACACAAGACTGAGAGAAACTTGCAGTTGCCTGGACACTTGTCCTGTGCTTGTACCACAGTCTTGTTCTAAATGTTCCAGTATATAGTAGGATCGTATTCGATGCAAAGTAGAGCAAAGTTGTCGGTCTTTTATCAAAGGAAAATCGTGTCATCATTTTTAGGAGGCGTAAGATAAATCAATTCAAATTTAGAATGAAATTCAATGTAAAATCTGAAATACCACTGCATACGCACTGTGTTCTGGTAGTAGCTGTAGTCGCCCAGGTGCATCGAGTGGACGAACTGGTCGGTTATACGTCAAATACTAACCTGGCGAGCTTTGCCGTCAATTAGAGAGCGCTTCCAAAAAACAAGTAAACAACAGTGGCGCGTACAGAGGTAAAATATAGTACATATGTGGAATTTAGGAAATAAATCGGATTTAAAATAAATTACATTTAAAATAAATAGTTTATGAGAATAAAAGAATTTTTGTAGGAACAGGGGTGCCAGACCTGAACTGATCCCCTCGTCCCTTCATAATGTATAAAGAAATTATTCAATTTGTAAAACCCTTAAAAGCGTACTTCATTGGTTCCCTTGACAGACATTGATTTATTACTTTGCATCGAATATGATCCTACTATAGTTTCCTCAATTTTAACAGTTCGGACATTACGCCTTCTTCCGGCACCCTCACGATTGGGCTGAATTTTACCAGTTTCGCGAAGCCTTCTTTCCACCGAGGCCGATGTTTGTCTATTTTTTCTGGATTCGAAAAACACTGAGAGCATGTCGACATATTCATCATTGGTATAAATATTATTTGCCATAATTATTCTGATAATAAATTAATCAATTGGTACTAATTATTGGTTGACACAAAGTGTCAATTTATTAAAATAATAAATAACAGTTTCTTTGTTATGACATCCCCCTACTTTATTTTTACAAATTTTCACAATTACCCCTTTAGTGAACGATGACGCATATAATTTTTTTACTAGAAAACTGTGGGTTTTATATAAAAATTACAAGAGGTAAAAAAGTTGCGCAATAAATCAATATTCCCAATAAATATTTTGAAATAAATAATTTGCTTCATATAAAAAAATTTTAATAAAATATTGCAATGGGGTTTCAATCCTGTTTCACTCCTTTATAAAATATGCCAATGATTGAACAAATATTAAAGAAAAACGTTAAAGAAAAAAATTAAAATGTGAATTTCAATCCCCTTCTTTAAGAGAATATATTGTCAAGGGGTGCAACTTTCATAAAACATATTTCTACTTCAATCCTCTTATTTTTAGCTCTACATTCACTGGTACCATTTTTGCTACTTCATTTAAAAACACCCTGTATATTTTCTATAATTATAAGCTTTGGCTTTGTAGAACTTTGTAATCATAATTATGAAAAGTATTATAATTTGGAAACCAAAGGGAAATAAATTTTCCTTATTTCTAATGTACAGGGTGTTTTCTTTGTCCATTTCATAACTTATTGGTCATTTTAGTGAATCGAGGCTATAAAATCATCGGGGTTTGAGGTACAGGATGTTGGAATTAAAAAATATTTTGTGCATTGCTGGTTGCTTGGTGGCCGAGTGATTCGATGCTTCAATTCTTGAATCGATGAATGCCACTGTCGGGATCAGTAATACTAATAATTTAGTACTACTAAATAGTAATATGCTGCCCCCGCTCCCGTACAAGTCTCTTGTTTCTGGGCTAATCCTTGCAGTTAGATTGCGGGGTAGAGATATTATTCAATACCTCTGAAGACGATTGACTTAGATCGATGAACTAAAGATATAATTAATTATAAGTAGACATTTACTGAATTAGTGTAGAAATATGTTATAGATACTTAAGTTAAATTTAAGAATGTTGCGGAAATATTTTTTATAAAGTGAGAATTTCCTTTATTTTACATTATTATTCTGTTGCTGACTTGAAGATTTGTTTTTGGTTTTATAAATACGAAATTTTGGATTTTGGATTTTTTTTTGCGAAATTTGATTCGTTTTTTTGCGAAAATTACGTATCCCTACTAATAGTGTTTGTATGATACAACGGATGATCCATTTTAATGGAAAAATGAACCATTTTCAACTTATTTTTATTTTAAAATAAGATAACATCGCACAGTCAAATCTAAAACAAGCAATACAATTCGTTTTGCAGAAAACGTATTA